CTCTCTCTCACACACACACACACACACACACACACACACACACACACAAATATCTTACTGCTATTAATTCTTTTGTATTTTATCTGTAAGGATAAGGGCAAGGATATTTTTGATACTGGGTGAATCTATATATGTGTATGCTTTTCTGTGAGATGCTAAGATTTAGTGAACCAGGGGAAAATTTAGCCCATCATGCCCATCCTTATATTTCCTGTATATGGAGGAAAAGAAAGTGTGTATGTGTATACTTACAGGTAAATTCATTTATATTCCTGATATCTATTGCAATGATTTAGACAATGCCATGCATGTAGACATGAATAAATTGTTATTTATTGAATCTATCAAAAGACTCGGGTTCTAGTGAACATAGTTGTTGGCTAATTAGAGTTTAAAAATATATATGCATATATATGTATATATAGGTAAACATTTTGGAGGTGTTATTAAGAATTCTCAAAAGATAGAATATATGTGGGTGTTTCAGGAAGCCCTCATATTTCATAAGTTGTAATCATATGCCAATCAGTGAATTGTTACCTTTCTCCTCCCACTGAATCTTCATCATAACCATAATGCTATGAGCTCAGGCTATAGTGTCATTGTTATTCACAGAAGAGACTTGAAGTCCCAAGTAGTGAAGTAACTTGCTCAGTCACATAGCTAATAAGTGTAATTATAATATAGGAGTGCAGGTTCTCAAGGTAAGCCCTAGATTCTTTGCAACAGCCGTGGTGTTAGAAATAGATTTTTTTAAAGATTTGTTTTCCTTTTACTCTATGTGTATGACTATATTAGTATGTTGTGTAAATGTCTGTATGTGTAGCACATGTGTGCCTGGTATCCACGGAGGCCATGAGAGAGCATCAGATCTCCTAGAACTAGAGTTACAGATGGTTATGAGAATCCATGTGGGTGTTGGGAATTGAATCCAGGGCCTCTGGAAAAGTAGCAAGTGCTCTTAACCACTGAGGCATCTCTCTAGCCCATAGTTGAATTCTTGAAGGATCCAAAAATTGCACATTTAACCAGAAAGAAATGTTCTGATAGAATATGGAATGAATCAGATAACAGACCAAAAAATCTGTGAATAGATTATGACAAGAAGTGGAACTAGGGCTCCAGGAGTCTCAGGGATGTAAATGATTGACAGTTTTGCCAGTGCAGCATCCTCTGATGCATGTGCTCTGCCATTATTCCTGTCCTAGTACCATCTCAGTAAGCCTCAGAGTCCCAGGAGAGTAGGCTGATGGGATGCAAGCAGGATAACTTGGCAGATGATCCCAACAAACCATATTTAATAGAAAAAAGGGAAAGCAAGTAGTTCCCAACCGAAAATCTCAATTTAAGAATCTGTTTAATGAGTTGACCTGTGAGTGAAATCTAATACTATAGTGTTAAATCCTAATGCTGTTAATGTGTTGGGTACAGACATTAACTCACTGTCAACAAATTTGATTACATTGTTTTCTGCAATCAAAGATGTCTTCAATTAAAGTACTGAAGAGAATAAGCATAATGAGACCAACTGGTACCCCTCCCAGCCCTTCTTCTAGGTTAATCTGTGTCCATTCCCCTTTGCATCAGATTGTGCATTAGCTAATGATTGATGTAATTCTAGTAATTTCTATAAGATAATATTAAGTCATTTTTCAAGAACTTTTATTAAAACCAGTTTCCCTTAATTTAACATTCTGCTAAATCAGGCCAAGGAAAATGAGGTCAGTGTCAAATGCTTCTTTAAAAAATTGTGTTGATTTATAACAATTGCCATTTTTCATAATTTACTAAAATCATCAATCAAATCATCTATCTTAAAATGTTTCATGAAGTTAGTATATCAAGGTTTTGCTCAATATTGATAGAACATGCTTGTATGTCTATAGACGTGCTTCATCTTTTTCATACATTTTGAAGTATGGAAACTGTTTTGGTTCTTTTAAACCACATCTCTACCCCAGCATTTCTCTGTCCCTATAGTTTTTAAGATGCTGTCAGTGGCAGTTCTATAATTACATGTGTGTTTCTTAATTCATCTCTCAGTGTATCTGTTCAATGAAATGTTCCACTTGGTCAACAGTATACATACCTCTGGCTTCTTTTTACAAATTTAGACCAAACGAAAGACTGTCATAGTGTTTAATGTGGCATTCCTGAGGCAGTTTAATGCAGATCTTCTCAATATTGTACAAAAGTACATTCTAAGACATGTATTGTTGGGAATCAAATGTCTGCTGATAGTGATTGGATCAGAAATACTGGATATGGATAGCGTTGGTCTTTCTTGCTAACTATCATCAGTGGCAAGCTTCAGATCCTTTTTCTGTTCAGTGATTCTTCTCATTATTGAAAACGATGAAAATAGAGGCATCTATTGTCCTACCCTGTCAACTGTTCAAGGTTTCCCTCCATCAATGGTCTTTATTCTAAGCCTTTCTAATTCTTATTCCAACAATTTGTTTAAAAGTGAGTTGTTATTAATAAGGGCTTCCTGTAGACATTTTTTCCCTTAGCTATGTGGTAATACAGGTTTATCTTATGATAAGCACAGATACTTAATTCAAGGCCTTCCAGATCCACTAAAGTTTACAGAGAAGGCAATGAAAAGGTAATTTCACTTAGATATCCTGTGTCCTCTTGGTTTTGAACTTGGGGTCCAGTTCAAGTCACTCAAGTACCTGTGCTTAGCAAGAGTCCTTGTGCCAATAAATAAAATGGTAGTAAACACTGTGGAGGGTTCCCCAACCAAATAAGAACATTTTTCTTCCCTAATTTTTTTTTCATTCTCCTTCTTGACTTAGGCTACTAGTTTGATGAGCTCTTTAATCTTGTTGCTTACCACAAACTTTAATACCACCTACCTATTGCTAAGAAATTAAAACTCAGACTTCGTTCTTGAATTGTGGGGGTTTTTTTCCTTATTTATTTGAAATTTTCCTTTGAAATGTCATCAGAGATGTATGTGTTTTTTAAAGTAAAAATTCACCAATATTATAAACAAAGGTTACTGATGAGCTTTGTCAAAGTTTTTAACCTCAAAAAAGTCATCTTCCAAATTGAGTAAGTAAGTTTCTGAAAGCAAAGTGACCAAGCAATTGCTCATTTATAACAAGGGTTCAAATAAAACTTAAGATTGCATGACTGGGGTGCACTTACATATGTGCAGGCAATACACTCATACTCATAAAATAAAATTTTTACTCATAATAAAATTATTATTATAATAATAATAAATAGAACTTTTGAATCAGATCAAACCTCACTGTGATAAATCATTTCATGAACCTCTCAGCAAGCTGTCTTGTTACTCACTAGAACTTCTGTGGTAACTGCCAAGCCGGTGTCCCTGGGCTGAAAAGCAACAAAGGGGATGAAGACAGCGCTGGAGAGCCTGGGAAGTATGATTCTGCAGCCCGGAAGGTAAGAGGCTGGTTGCAAGCCTATGGGCCCTATTGCACACCTTGTGCCCTATCACAGCTGTTACTCCTCTGTCCTCTAGGGTGATGTAGGACCACGGGGCCCTCCAGGAATCCCAGGCAGAGAAGGACCAAAGGTAAGAAAGTCCTCTGTGAGTCTCTCAATTCTATGAAAAATAGAAAACCCCATTTTAAAATACACTACTTTCATGAAATGTTTTTGGAAAGGTTAGTTAAAAGCCATTTGCAAATGTTGTCATTGGATTGTGCCCTGATTCTGTCCAAGTGAAGTGCTGAAAGTATTCTGAAGATAAATCGTTTCCATTGTCCCAAAAGATGTTAAAATGGCTAGTATACACTAACTGAAATTACTGTATTTCTAGGGAAGCAAAGGAGAGCGGGGTTACCCTGGAATACCTGGGGACAAAGGCGATGAGGTAAGAGATTCTACTCTGATAAACAGTCAGGTTGCTTCTCCTCACTCAACAGAGGAAAGACACTGACTTTTCAATAATGCATATTTAGTACTAAAACCATAAAAACAAAGATTAATCAGGGTGTAGTGGTGCACGTCTTTTCTCCCAGCACTCAGGAGGCTGAGGCAGGCAGATCTCTGTAAGATGTAGGCCAGCCTGGTCTACATGGCAAGTTCCAGGCCAGCTGGGGCTACAGGGAGACCCTGTCTCAAAGAGAAATAAATAAATAAATATATACATAAATAAATAAATAAATAAAATAACAAGATAGAGTAGATGTTTTAAATAAATCATTTTAAGTAACTATATATGTATATTTATCACCACTGGTCCAGGTTTGGATTCAAAACAAATAAGGTACATAGTTAATATATTAGTTATGGGTATTCTGTTTGAGAGTATCAAATAATCATTCTATATCTCACAATAAAAGAGGAAAAAGGATGAGTGAGCTTATTAAAGGAAAACCCAGAGTAGTGAAGAGAATTGAAGGAGTAGGTGAACAAGCACAGGAATAAAAGCATCTTGGAAGTCCAGCTGGGAGCCCAAGAAGGACGGCTGGCCCATGATTCAACTTTAACAACCTTGGTCTGTCTCTGTCTCTGCTCACTTCCAAACGCTTGGGAAAAATAAGCTGTGTGAAGTTTCTGACAGGACTAGTTTAGATCAGCAGCTCAACCCTAGGACCAAAGATGTGATTCTAAGGTGCTTTTGAGCTAATGATGTAATTTCTGACTGTAAGCCACAGTGACGCTCAGGATATCATTCTTACCCTGCATAATTCACATTAACTCTTAGAAAAACCAATTAGAATGATGAATTGCTGTTAGTTTAAACAGTTTTGATACTAATAGTTCTTAATGAAAGTAAGAAAGCCATCTGGCATATATTAACCTTGATGTTGGTGCAGAAAATTATAACACTATAAAATAAATCTATTTTTCTACTTGGAGTTATATTTCACATTATAAGTCATCATCATTTATTATTGTTTTTATTGATATTCATTGTGCTCTAGAAACCTTTAGGGTTTGACTTGGGATTATTTTTCAAGTTAAAAATTAAAGAATAAATAATATAGCATTTATTTTCATTTATAAATAAAACATTAAGAGCATTTTGTTTTCAAAACAAATAAGAATTAATGAGCTTTTGTTTCCTCAAGTTCCACAGAAGGTTTTACTAAAGTATCAGCACAATAATGAGTTTTAATAGCCAAATAGCTTTTAACTGCCTAGATTCAAGAGGTAGACTTCAGAGGCAATTGAAAAGGTAATAACAAAAAGATCAAGAAATAATTGGAATTGGGGCTTTTTTAAAGTGACTCTGTTAAATTCACTAGAAGTTAATTTTATTGATTTTGCAAGGTATTCTGCTCTCTTGTGAGCTGAAACCCATTGTATTATTCCTCTAGTATTTTAGCATGTTCTTAAGTACACTTTCTGGATTTTTTGACCTAGACGTACACAAAATTTTTGCAGAATACTCATTAGAGTTCAGGAAGTTCTGATCCCTGTTTCTCATCACAATAGTAATATGAATAAACCTGAGCCAACATGTTGACTTAGTTGGGCCTTTTGAAAAGAACAGAACAGCGTGTCCTTTGTCACCCACACAGATCAATAATAGCAAATATAATCTTGTCATCTCTTTGGACTCAGATACTACCCGAAGTTAGAGTTGTTGATTTATTTAATTAAATAAAACTTTAACTGACAATAAATATGTTTCCAACTGCCAATAGACTATCGACTGTACTGTTTTAACACCAACAAACCCACAAATATGTGTTCTTCATTTAGTGGAAAAGTCACAGAGGGACAGCCCATATCTTTTAGACTTTACCATCTTCAATTTAATTTAAAAACATAGAAGACTTGCCCGTTAGTTGTCTTAGAAAGGTGACATCCTTCAAGTTGTTCACAGATGTTGTTGTATAGCTCACAGCAGGAATTTGTAAGATACTAATAGAGCACAGACCCACCTTTCCTAGCCAGAGGAAGTTCTTCCTTGGAATGCAAATCTTTCTACAATATTTCATGATAATAATTGACAAACGAGACATGAAAAATATCATCAGCCTTTAAGTATAGCAACAGAAAAAAATGAATATTCTTTATAGCAATGAATAGTCTTTGTAGGACTTGCAAAATCAAAAACTCCAAGCAAGTAAATAATTGGGCTATAATGATCACTGAACACAATAAATTTTAATTTGCATTTTAGTTTGGCACTGCATGCTAAACTGACTATCTTAGTCTTGAATATCTATTTGTCTTCTTTAATGACCATCTTGACTTCTAAAATTGTCTTATTGCCCTTTATGCCTCTGTAGCAGCTTTCACTCACTTCAGAATTTCAGATTGTTCAGGGAAGGACTGCTGAGAACTACTTTTTTATTTATGTACTGAGGTTTACTTTAAAGTTTAATGTGGTCAACAAAGGTTAATGAATCCCAAGATTATCAAGTAGACTACCTCACAATTCACTCCGCATCTCTAGACTAACCCAGAATTGAGACAGAAAGTATCAAAATGGGAATATATATGTATATGAATATCTTGCACATGTACATGTAGAGAGAATTATGGAAATGTAGGTGTTTTGAGATAAGAAAATTTATGGTGTAATATCTGTAAGCTGAAATCATTGAAAAGTGACTTTCCCAATGGAAAAATTTCCTTTCCACTTATAAAATTATAAACTCATTTATAAACTGAGAAAGGTGGAAAAATTAAAAGAGCTAGTCCATCACACTGATGTGACTGAGCCACACCTGCACTTGTGCACACATACAGTGTGCCAATGAGATCAGTATCATCTTGAAGGAAGACTGTCTACATTGTTTAACACAAGTACACACAAGATTTTGTCCAAGATTAATTGCACTTGGCATTCCAGCAATAAGCCTGAAGTAACAAGTGATCTCATGTGGCATTGAAAAGACAGACAGACTAACTGAGCTTGGTCCTTAATCCCACTGATGCAGAGAACCTCAATCCAGATCAGCCCTATAGAAATCTCATAAAGAAAGATGTAGTCATTTTACCACAGTCATTTCACCTAATATTTATAACATGTATAAAAATTAATCTTTTGTAACAGCAGAAGGAGTTCTATTACAAGTAACAATGTTAGGGCAACTGAAAAATAATAATTTATTCAATAAAAGAAAGTAAACTTTGGAAGAAAAGGACCAATCTAAAACTTGGGACTTGAATTTTTGTCTCTTTGATTGGTTCATATTTATGCTGCTGTGACTGTTAAACAAGTGTATAGAACTTGATGTATCTCATGTTTATCTGAAGCAACAAAAATGTATTCAAATTTTCCTATAATTATAAAAATGATCGAAGCCTATTATAGAAATATTGAGGAATAAACAAAAATAATAAAAACCTAAATGTTTTCTCTATTCCAACTACACGGAGTAAAAGCAACATTATGGTTGTCTACAATCCCTCTTCCACAAATCTAAACCCTCAAATCTCTGAAAATCCTGGAAAATTACCACAGTTTGGCAGTAAGTTCCCCTGGCAGAAAAAATCTGACCCTAGCTCACACCAATCTGGTCTATTTTTCCTACGCTATCAGAATATCACATTTTACTACAAGAGTGTTTATGTGTTTATTAGAAGGTAATGTTGCAGGCACCACTAGGAGCTCTTTACAATATGCAGAAGGTCTGTTGTTGCCTTTCCAAAGGAAAAAAACTTGAAATTTCAGAATTCTGAAACACACCTGATGGTAAATTTTCCAGATAAAAATTATCTACTCGCCATAATTAAGTAATAAAAATATTCATCACGCCCATATTTTAGGAAATGCATTTATAATTCTTTAAAATTTTAGCCTCTGTGCTTTATAACATTTTGTGACTTCTACTTTTCCATGCCATCCAACAGTTTTCTAAACTATGACTTAATAGTCATAAAAATTTTCACTTTATGAATTTTTTTGAGGCAAGGTCTCCCTATAGCTCCAGATGGCCTAGAACTCTCTATGTAGACCAAACTGGCCTTGATCTCACAACTCCATCTGCCTCTCCTTCTGAGTTCTGGGATTAAAGTCATGTGTCACTACACCCAGCTAACTTTATGGATTATATTTGATTTAATCAACTAATACTCTATATTGGTATAACTGGTAAAGAAACAAATTATAAAAGTTACCAGTTAATCTTGCAAACTTCTTCCCATACATAAATAAATGTACCAGATTTTAAAACCTGCCAAGTGTATTATTATTATCCTAACAATCCAAGTAAGGAAAGAGTGGGAAATACCTTAA